GCTTTTGTGTGTACAAGCGTCTGTGCGTAAAAGGGTCTGTGTGTGAAAGTGTCTGTCTGTAAAAGCTTCTGTGTGTGAAAGCTTTTGTGTGTACAAGCGTCTGTGCGTAAAAGGGTCTGTGCGTGTTTGCGATGCAAACTATTGTGTTAAACTTCTGCTATTCTGAGGAAAAATTGCGATTTTACTTGTGCCGGAGCAACCCTTTTGCACGAAATGAGGGTCGATCGGCAAAAACTGTGGAAAAATTGCGATTTTACTTGTGCTGGACTTGTCTGTGTGTAAAAGCGTCTGTGTGTAAGAGTCTCTGTGTGTAAAAGTGTTTGTGTGTAAAAGTGTTTGTGTGTAAAAGTGTTAGTGTGTAAAAGCTTCTGTGTGTAAAAGCGTCTGTGTGTCAAAGCGTCTGTGTGTAAAAAACTGTGTGCACAAGCGTCTGTGTGTAAAAGCGTCTGTGTGTCAAAGCGTCTGTGTGTAAAAGCGTCTGTGTGTAAAAGCGTCTGTGTGTAAAAGTGTTTGTGTGTAAAAGTGTTTGTGTGTAAAAGCCTCTGTGTGTAAAAGCGTCTGTGTGTAAAAGCGTCTGTGTGTAAAAGCGTCTGCGTGTAAAGTAAAAGCGTCTGTGTGTAAAAGCGTCTGTGTGTAAAAGTGTCTGTGTGTAAAAGCATCTGTGTAAAAACGTATGTGTGTAAAAACTTCTGTCTGTAAAAGCGTCTGTGTGTGTAAAAGCTTTGTGTGTAAAAGTGTCTGTGTAAAAGCGTCTTTGTGTAAAAGCTTCTGTGTGCAAAAGCTTTTGTGTGTACAAGCGTCTGTGCGTAAAAGGGTCTGTGTGTGAAAGTGTCTGTCTGTAAAAGCTTCTGTGTGTGAAAGCTTTTGTGTGTACAAGCGTCTGTGCGTAAAAGGGTCTGTGCGTGTTTGCGATGCAAACTATTGTGTTGCACTTCTGCTATTTTGTCTTAATACTCCTCTTCTCGACTGCCTATAACACATCTTTAATATATTGTTTCTAATATGGTGTCTCCATACTAACAAGAGAAGACCTGCTCCTCTACGCTCTCGGGCCACCCGTCGTCTAGTTTTGATGATGTTTTTCAGGAAAATTCAAACCCAAAAACCATTTGGATCCAGGAATTGACTCCTGAAAGCGCTCTGGATCCAGGAACTGACTCCTGAAAACCCTGTCGATCCAGGAGCTGACTCCTGAAAACCATGTGGATCCAGGAGCTGGCTCCTGAAAGCGCTCTGGATCCAGGAGCTGACTCCTGAAAACCCTTCGGATCCAGGAGCTGACTCCTGGATCCACATGGTTTTCAGGAGTCAGCTCCTGGATCGACAGGGTTTTCAGGAGTCAGTTCCTGGATCCAGAGCGCTTTCAGGAGTCAATTCCTGGATCCAAATGGTTTTTGGGTTTGAATTTTCCTGAAAAACATCATAAAAAAATGTTTTTTTCAAGATTTTGATGAATAATTTCTTGTTTTTTCTTGTTATTTTTTGTGTTTTTTTTGCATGTTTTTCCCGATTTTATTACGATTTTGTGTTTGTGTTTTTTCATTTTTTAATGTTATTTTTCTGTTTTTTAGGTGTTTTTGATTCAATTTTTGTCAATCTGATCCAAGTAGAAGCGACATGCATCAGAAAAACACCAAACAATACCCCAAATGAAAGTACTGTATGGCCTTTTCCTGACTACCAATGATGTTGAAAATTGAAAGAGTTAAGTCATGAACATCAACAGGGTTTAAGCGCCAAGAGAAGAATGAGAAGAATGAGAAGGTGAAATTAGCGTGAAGCCAAGGTTTTGGTCGGGTTCGGGAATCGGGTTTTAAATTAGATGTGATTTGCTCTTCAAGGCGTCAATTTTGGAAGGTGATGTAATTCAGGAGTGGTGCTTCGCAGGTCAGTTCAGGAGTCAGGTCTTGGATGCGTAATCTTGCAAGGGGTTGTGCTGCGAGGCTAACAGGGTGAGGGCCCACAGTCCACAATCCGGACGCGATGTGAATGGCAACAGTGTTTTTTTCTCATATCTACATTATATAAATAAATAAGTTTGAAAAATAACATGTTTTCACAGAAAAAATAGATAAATAAATCAATAAGTAGTATATATCTAAATAGAAATATAAATTCATATATAATTATATATACAATTATATACATACATATTCCTAATTCCAGGCGGTTTTCATAGTTTCTAAGCTTTGCGGGCCAACGAATCAAGGATCACAATTCTTGACTTGGCACTCTTGGCAATATGTCTTTTCCTGGATGCAAGATTTTGTTTCAGAAAACGAGCTTCTTTGGATGTCCAGGCCAATGAAAGACTCCTATTTCTACTGCCACAGGAACCGCGTTTGGGCTCTATTGTTTTTTACCCACCACGTTCTTTGCTGATAAAAGCACGCCTCTTTTTAAGCATGACTTCAAAACATTCAAAAATAAGTCTGTTTCCAAGGGCGCGGGCTGCGAAATTTCAAGGAAAATAGCGGCCAGTCAGGTCCACTTCCTGTGCAGATGTTTGCCCGTGCTTACTTTTTCATGGGTGCAATTTCTCGACTGATCAATCTAATTTGTTTGGGGGACCGGAACAATAAAATCATGAATGATAAAACTTGACCTTGTCTGGCCGAGTGTCTCCATTTCGAGTTCCTAAGTTCTTCGCGCTGGAATTCAACTTTTTTTGGTTTAGGCAAATTGTCAGGTCCAAAAACCATGAACAATGTAGGGTTCATTGCCTTGTTTGTGTTTATTGCTGCGCTTCTAAGAGTCTCGTTGGTATGGAGGGCTTGTAAATAGACACATGGGAAAGCACGTATTTATGTTGACCTGTCTTGAGTCAAAAAATGGTTTGTTCGACCATTGGAACTACGACATGCTATGTTTTGACGCCTTCAGCATCCTCTGGGAACCTTCGCGCGATACTGACAAAATGGCTTAGCGCCCTTGGACCAACGGTATCCTAAGAGAGATTTCAAGACTTGAACTCCTGAATCGAGCTTATCAAGCACCCCAACTCCTGAATCAATTCGGTTACCAACCCCAACTCCTGAAACAGTAGGGTGGACAACTAGACACACCCCACAGCTAAAACAGCACGTTACGACCTGAGGACTTATTTATCTCCAACCCGTCAGCCCAGTGCTGCCGACCCAATAGCGCTGGGAAGCCGTAAGGTCACGGCCGGGCGGGATCATCCTTCCAGGCGGTGAAGTTTTTTATCACATCCCCCAGGGCGGTTTTTTCCTCACTGCTGCCTGGGTGTTTGCTTTGATCCTTATCATTTTGATTCGGTGCTTTTATGTTTCTCCGTTTTCTGCTTCCTTGCTTCTCCGCTGCTCCGTTTTTTTTTTTGGGGGGTTTCTTTGCTTATGTGTTTTTGCATGTTTAAGAAGGAACCATAATATATACAACCCTTGAATAAAATTTATACAAAAATGCAAACTGGCCACCCAGAAAAAGGCAATTCAGAAAACTAAAAATGAATCCCAAACTAATACCAACTAAATTGACATACAACGACCCAGCGCTTGGCTGCCCATGTAATGAAAATGTGGGCCAGCCATATATCGATGGTAAGCGTGAAACGAAATTAAAATCCAACCTCAACAAATGAAACAAATCGGTGGAAAATTAACTAAGCTTGAAACAAGTTTTGCATTAACCCTCCAGCCAGTATGATGCCTTGCAAACATGCATTCTATTGCAAAGTTTTTTCCAGGCACCAAAGCCGTCTCCATGGATGGTTTGCCGCAAACCAGTTGAAGGTTGGTTTGAGATTCGCTTTCCCTGAGGGTTTTCAGCTACTTTGCAAATAATGTAGTTGTTTTGTTTGTATTGTTCCATCACGTTTTTGGTTACCTCGCCAGTTGCGGGAAATGCGCCCCTTGCGTGCCGTTTCTTCACCCATCCATCCATTTGCCGTGGACTAAAGTAGAAGTAGCCCGTGGAATTGCCAGCAGAGAATTGACAACGAGGTGTAATCTTTAAATTGTGCCTACAATGATGGCTTGCAGCGAGGGTCAGCGTCTCAGGAACTTACGTTCCAGAATTGTACGCGGACCTGTGTCCCAACAGCAGCAGGATAGGAACAAAACAACAATCTTTGAAATAGTTGCAACATTGGAATTCGAGCCAAGTAGTCCACCAGCAAAAACGCCGTAAAAATTGAAGAAACAATTTCATCGGTCGCAGTCCACCGCGCATCAGCCCCACAAGCAATGTCGACGAAAGTATTTGTGCAGAAGAAAGGTGCCGTGGGATTTTGGCAGCCACGCGGCGGGTTGGCTGAAACAAGAGAGCGCAGTACCCTGCAGGGGTGCATCTCATGGATTGGGTTACGAATCCATTTGTAGGAAATTCAAGTTTTATGTCATTTTTTTGGCGGAGATGTTGCAATTTGAAACGGTTTGTGTGGCAATGGCGGGTGGGACCCTTGATACCGATTTAAGTCATAACGTTTGACTTGCAAAAAATTGAACCATTGCCATTGCTAGATAAAATGTGTTCGGCACTTGCCGGGCACATGTAGGGACTTCGCGTTATTCACGGACATGTTCATTGGAATCAGCTGGAATCGGAGGTTTGCATTGTATGACTGCATTTTTGTTGTTGATATGGGGGGTGCCTGTTATGGTTTTACGCGCCACAGCGGAGGCGGCAATCCCATGCAACGGGTGAAACAACTTTCGCCAGAACCTCAGATGTTTTGAAATGGACACGAGGGTAGTAAGTTAGTGATAGTTAGTGTAGTAACATTTGTTAGCATCCGTTCCATGAGTTTCGCCCAAACCACCAAAATTTAATCGAATTTTCCAAGGGAACATGTTGATGTTCAGTTCATCCTCCATGCGATGATTTCATTTTCTTGATTATAGCCATGCCATTAGTAACATATTTTCCTTTAGCAAAAACCTGGCTAAAAGGTCAAATGGGTCGTGTCTCAACAAAAATGTCGTTCCATTGGGATTAGAAGAGTTTTTGGCATGTGGCCCTCGAGGCAGCACCTATGTGCC